ACAGCTAGAGCAGTTATTACTACTTAAAGTACTGCACTTGCTGACAGGAAGGTTGGTGGTTGTGTGTATGTGTGTGTGTGTACTGTATATGTGTGTGTGTGCTGTAAAACACTGGTCTGATGGCTCCCTTGGGTATTTCAGAAGCTGCAGTCGCTTCTCTAAAGTTCAAGCAATTACATTTTCCGACCGGGTGCCATTTGCCAAACAGTCTCTGGCTGTGTGTGTGTGTGTGTGTGTGTGTGTGTTTGCTTATATGTGCATCTGTGTTTGTTTATTACGTGTGTGTGTGTATGTGTGTGTGTGTGTGTGTGTGTTTCTGTTTAAAGTCATATACTGGACCTTATACATAAAGATTCTCAGTGAAGTACAGGAAATAGAGCTGCTGATGGTGTGACTGATTTCTCTTTTTCTTTTCTTGATGGCAAATTGACTAAATATGCAAATATACAACGACCTACAGGTTGATGTACAGCCTGCTCAGTTACACTTTGTGTAGCTTGAAAAATCCATGTTTGTTTGAGATCTATTATAGATTACCGGGGTTGGACCCAACGGTAAAATAAATACTACTGCCAGGTCTGAAATTAATGATTATTTTCATTATGAATAAAATTACATGTTTTCTTCTGACCAGCAGTTTAAAGGACCAGAATGTAGAATTTAGTGGCATCTAGTGTCCTAATGTAGAGATGGTGTTGGGTTTGTCCGTTCTGGGCTACTGTAGAAACATGGCAGTTCAACATGGCTACCTCTGTAGAAGAGGACCCGCTCCCTCTGTAGAAACAAATGTCTCATTCTAATGAAAACACAATGATTCCTGCTCTCAGGTGAGTATACACTAATGAAAACATACCTATTCATATTATATCCCATTTCTGCCAATAGATCTTCTTAAATGTTACACCTTTGTTACATGGACCTTTAAAACCACTAAAATATTCAATTTACAATTATATAAAAGAAAAACATGCTGAAAATCTCATATTTCAGAAGCAGAAACTCGCAGATGTTTGTCATTTTTGCTTGATCACTGACAGTTTCAATCAAAATTGTCGTCTTTAAACTCAACCGATGAATTTTACTGACATATACCACATACTACTTAAGTTGCCTACTGGCCAGATTCAGCAGAGTATCTAAAACAGTGAATTCAGCTGTAAAGTCAGATTTTAAATTCAGTAATACATCACTGGGTCAGTGTACTGTGGGTAGTCAGAGTGATGTGTTTGGCATGCTGCAGTAGATGCGTACATGACTGGAATGTGTCTGAGCAGCAGGTTTGTGTCGGCCTGGTGTAGAATTACAGACTAGGATTGCACCAATATGTGCAGTTAAAGGCCAACACAGATAATTTTGGATTGAAGCTGCCAATAGCTGTTTCAGTTTCAGAAAATACAAGTAAACAGCGCGTCTGAGATGGAAGGTTATTCTGGTCGGGCTGCAGCATGAAGTCCTGCATGCAACATTAAAGCGCTCCACTGAAACTCAAGAGGGTGATGACAAAGCAGATTTTGGCTTGTACTGCACTTGCATGAAATGGGATTTAATTGCCATATGAGAAGTGATTCTATTGTAACTGAAAACCAGTGGAATATAGCAAAGACATATTCCAAACCAGTTTTTATCTTGATTTTATACCCGTGTACACATAAAAGTTGTTGTGTTTCCTTTATTTTAGAAAAGCTAAAAAAGAGGAGTAAACTCAGTCTCTTATAAGCTGCACGAATACATTTTTTAAATGGGTTAATGTGTTGGTTCACTCTCACCGTTTTCATCAGCCTCGTTTCTAGCTGCAGCAGGCAGCTGGGATTTGCGAAAAAAAAGCTCCATATAAAGCCACTGTGCACTACCTGCTCAGCACCAATCAACACATACACGCAGTTAGAGACCATAGCTGGTGGACGTAGTGGAGCATTTAGCAGCTAAAGAGCCAAATATTTCCCTCAGGAGTTGGTGGAGACCAAACCAGAGCT